AGGAGATTGAAGGTTAAAATAAATTTTAAGTGAGGTTAGGTTAGCGTGCTAGTTAGGTTAGCTCAGAAATCTGGTATCAGGAGAATATAATGTGCGAGGAGGTCGAAGGTTATAATAAAATTTAAGTGAGGTTAGGTTAGCGTGCTAGTTAGGTTAGCTCAGAAATCTGGTATCAGGAGAATATAATGTGCGAGGAGATCGAATGTTAAAATAAAATTTAAGTGAGGTTAGGTAAGCGTGCTAGTTAGGTTAGCTCAGAAATCTGGTATCAGGAGAATATAATGTGCGAGGAGATCGAAGGTTAATATAAAATTTAAGTGAGGTTAGGTTAGCGTGCTAGTTAGGTTAGCTCAGAAATCTGGTATCAGGAGAATATAATGTTCGAGGAGATCGAAGGTTAAAATAAAATTTAAGTGAGGTTAGGTTAGCGTGCTAGTTAGGTTAGCTCAGAAATCTGGTATCATGATAATGTTCAAGGAGTTGATTGAAGGTTAGGTTAGACTCGTAGTTAGGTTAGGTCAGATTAGTTTGGGCGTTTTAAATTTTTACAAATCTTGTATCTAACCTAACTCACATGGAACAGAACTCTCAAGTCTTTAAAATGATGGCCGATTTAAAATTCTTATTTATTGCGGCGTACTCTTATGCCGATTTAATTCGTGTATTGCGAACAGATACTTTATTAAAATCGTCAAAAATCTAGGTATAGGTATACCAAAGGGGTATACGGACGGCCGTCCGTCTATCCGCCCTGTCCTTTGGCATTCCAAAAACGCTATGACACTAGGAATAGGCTAATAATACAGGAGCGAAATGTTTAATTTTCGAGTTTCGTGGTTTACTCCTTTGACAGCGAAAGGCACAAATCCCAAAATGTTTATAGCCTTGCCTGAGTTTTTGGTTAATATTAAAATAATCAAAGCAGAATACATTGTGCTGACATCTGTCTTTATTACTGGGAACTAAAATTTTATCGCTAAATGCAGGATACTTTATTACCATCATTATTTTAGTTGGAACTTACACCTCAAAGATGTCGCCACACTAATTTTGTAATGTACTTTATGAAACTAACGTTAGATGTCAGAGCGTAGTTTTTAAAAACCATAGATATATGAAGTTTTAACCTCAAGTGCATAATGAATGTTTGTTTATTTTATAGTCAAAAATTAAACTTTGTTATCATTCCTTTCTCGCTTACAGGTTTAAATTAGGGAACTGGGTAATGGGAGTGACAGGAAAGCGGCAGACTCAACCTTAGCGGAATATGTTACTGTTCGCTCTGGGTCGTGCAATCGAAGACATGTAGAGTTCTGGATGGATGAGAAATGTTAGCATTGAATTCAGACAACACAAATTGAAAAGGGAAATGCTTTGTAACCAAAACAGGAGGACACCGTGGAGAACCCGCAGAAAACCCATTCTAATGCAACTCAAATTTCTCAAGGTTAAAATCGGAACGATTACATGATTGCAGCAGCTGGCGATGGTGCGAAGCTATTCTTTAAAGAATTGAGCCTAGAGTTTATTTGATAGAACTACAGTTATAGAAACGGTAGTGAAATTGGCAGCGAAATAAGGCAAAAGTGTTACGCAGTTTGCAATCACGAAAAAATGTGTTGTTTGTGCGATCTTCGTGTGAAAGTTGTTGTAAAACGGTTCAGTTTAATGTACCTGTTATTGAAATTGTTCTTCCAAGAACTTTAAATAAACTCCTATGCATAAGAAGTTACGAATTGCAAAAATAAATGTTTTCTGTTCATTGAGCATGATGTGTTGCCTACAAACCAGGCTACACAAATATCGAGTGCCCATATTCAAATTAGGGATTTGCTTGAATCTCCCCAATCTGCCGTTTTTATTGAGGGTAAGGAGGGCCTCCACGAACGAATGGCCCAGGGCCCCGAAAGACTTAAAAACGGCACTGCAATTAAGGAATAATAAGTGCAACGTTGCTATTAATAGCATAAATCAAATAAAATATTAAAACAAGGTGCATACGTGGCGACATCTCAACTAGACTTCTTAAACTATAATTGATAGAAAGTGTATCGAGTGCCATGGAGATGGCGCACTAGTACTTGATGTATAAATTATCTATTCATAAACCGGACGTTTAAACTACAATTGCTCTACAGATCTTGCAAGACTCCGTACATTTTGAACTGCCATTTATTCAGACTTCTCAATCAAAAGTTATAGCCTAGAAACCAATTTCGAAAGAAAATTCAAAGGGCTGTAACTTTTGAACTAGTAGCCCAATCTTGGAACTGTTTGAAATTATGGATTCTATGGGCCAAATTCTATAAGAAAATGTTTTTTTTGCCAACTTAAGACATATTGATTCTAAAGTTTCCTGTAGTTTTTCATAATTACTTTTTAATTAAATTAAAGTCCCGAAATAGAAAAAATAGTATGAAAAACACGTGTTACAATGCTTTATTGTAATACTCCTATCTTGTGGACACTCGTGGCTCCGCTTCGCTACGCCACTCGTGCCATTAAATAGTCGTATTACAATAGGTCGCATTGTAACACTTGTCTTTCAATATACTATTCCCGGTCGATCTCAGACAATTTTTTTTCCGGCCTCAAAAAAAGGCAGTACTTTTAAGTTATTCAAATATTTGAGAACAATTTAGAAAAGTTTAGGGAAAGTTTCCATTGTCACAAAATCAAATATAAAAATCCGATACAACTGAATACCGAACGATCCTGGAGTGAAACTTTTTGACTCGATAGTCTACGTAACTTAAAAACATAGGGACCTTTCTTATATCCTTAAGACCATGTATACCAATTTTCAAAGCCATGGCACGTTTCTAAACAAACTATCATGCACACGGACAAACGGATGGTCAAAAATGGATCTGTTTCAAAATCGCTAGGATTAATTTCAGAAAGGCGTACGTATATCAGTGCACGACGTACGATCGCTTTGAAAACTGGTACACGTATTCTTAAGGATATAACTGGTATAAGAAAGGTCCTGGTAGGTACCTCCTATATAATAATATAATAATAATATACGCTTTTACTCCCCTTAAATTTGTATATAACAATAGAAATATAAAAAAAGCTAACCCCATACAAAGTATAACTTAATTTTTTAAGTAGTATTAAGACTTTTATCTAGTAAGTATACTATTTTAAATTTTTAATGTATTTGAGTGACAAGTATTCGAATACTTTTTATAGTATTCGAATGCATTTTAAAGTATTTGAATACTTATTTTTTAAAGTATGTATTTGAATACTTTCAATGTATCTGTATCTAGTATTCGCTTGTGCTGGACGTAAAAGTATTTAGTATTCAAATACCTTTGATTTGTGTAAAGTATTTACTATTTAGTATTCAAATACTTTTTGAAAGTATTCTGCCCAGCTCTGAGTATAAATGAGTTACTATGGTGATACTTAATGCCCTAGGGCATAAAGTGGTACTTTATGCCCGCGTATCACAGTTATAAAATGTGCTATGATAGGTTAGTAAGACATAAAAGATATTTCGGAAAAAAATATTTAAATGAAGTTTAAAACAGAAGAGTTTTTTACGCGAAACTTAGTGCTCTACAATTTATTTTAGCGTCGAGTTTTAAGCGAGAATCTTATGCTTTCTCCCAATCGTCCGATCGCTCGCTCTATGGCTTCATGTCCATCGATTTAAGAGTAGGAATGGACCGCCTACGATGAAATGTTGCAAGTGGACGTTGGACGTAGCTGCCGACAAGATCTTACTGATGGTGGATCAAAAGTAAGTTTTGAAAAATAAATTGACAATTCAAATTTCTACTTTATCGGCATATACTTGATTTTTTCAAAAGAATTATGTCGCAAAAAGGATTTGAATTTATATAAATTCCGTTTAATAAATTCAATGGTAATATAATCAAAACAAGCGCTGGCACGTTAAAGCAAATTCAAATTCTTACGCTTGCAGTTGCAACACATCTGCAAAGTTGTTCAACTCCAATACCCGCAGGGGGGAAGCAGTGGATAGGGCGGCGGATTTTGAATATCAATTGGAAAGACAGAAAAACAGTAGGTACTAGTAAGAGTTGAAGAAAAGAGATCAATCATCGACATCGTTAACAAAAGAAAGAGAAATTGGTTGGAACAGTGATGCAGAGAACCGAGTGATGATGTACTGTCTGTATATCAACACAAATCTCTGCTTATACACTCTGTAATTCCAATAAGCTCATACACATTTAGCCGGTATTATAAAGTTATACTTAACTATGTTGACAGCTAACACTTGTTAAGAGCATGTGAAAGGTGTTGATGTTTTTGCACATAGTAATATAAACAATCACATGCTTAACAACACTGTTAATGCAACAACATAGTCAAGTTTGGCTTTATAATACCGCCTTAAGCATCTTCACATGTTGGAATTGATAATGGGAGTCTTAGGTGGAATATAATAAATTCAGAATTCATAATCTTATATTCTCTCTCTAATACAGATGAATTAAGTGATGGTACATAATAAATAATACTTCTCATTACAATATTAAAAAAAAATTAGAAAATAGCAAAATCTGATACCAGGCACTGGAATGAATTATGTACAATACTAAGTAAGCTTTGTTCAACAATTACGTGCATAACATTGCAAAGGCCAGCAATTTCCAATTAGAGGAAACTATTGATTACTAAAATCATTACTTAATATGTATTGTCTGTGTACTAAGGGCATGGATTTTAATTTCTTGTTTCTTTGGTTGCATTGTTGCAGCATGCAGTTTCCCAGACAGAATTTTGTAAAAATAGTGTAGCACAAATAAAAAAACGAGAAATCAGACTTGACTCAGTCTTTACAATTTGGATATTTAGCAAACACAAATGAAACAAAAAGCAGATTTTGCTATTTTGTTGAACAGTCGTAATATAAATAAATAAAATTGCACTGGATAGAAGGAATTACGACCAATGTGTTCTCCCCCAATAGTTTTGGGGAAGATCACCTTCTTTCGCATTACCCTGTTACCTTAACAATGCACATCACAAATCGATTCAAGTTTACAAAGCTATCGGTCGATGCAGTGGAAAATAATATCGATTGATAATTTAGACCCGTTTCCATTCTATATTAGTCATCCATGTCTATCTATATAGACACAAAAATCTATCTACAATTATTGAATGTTGCTTGTTCATAATGCGAGAAGAAAAATCAAATTACCTGAAACAAGTGACAAAAAAAAATACTACTCACTTGCTCACCTACTTGATGGAAACTTAAAAAACGAATTTAGGCCTCCGATTTACACTGACGGCCATTTCATTGAAAATTAATCTCTTGCATAAAAATCACAATAATACAAAACAAATGACAACTTTGGCATTCCACAAAACGGAAGAAATGAAGGCAAAATATGGTTTTGATTTCTTTAGTCTTAAAACTAAATAAATTAAAAAATTCGAGTATCACCGAAGGATAATAAGCATCTATTTGTACATGAGAATTAACAATTGGCTACGTGTAACCATGGATGGTCCAGGACGTCTTCCGCCGAAAATCTCAATTCGGGTGCTAGCTGCAGCATATTCTGTATCAATTCCTTTGCGTACATCGACACGTCCTGCCAATATTCGTCTGGGAAATCGTATTGTCCTGATAAAATGCAGTCAAAAAGCTTCTCCTGATCATTGTCTTGACTGGCAAATGGCGGGTAACCGCATAATAAAATATATAAAATAACTCCCGCTGCCCAAACATCAATCTGAAACAAAAATTCACTTCGTAACATACAAACAGTGGCAGTGGAATCCACTCATAAAGAAATGTTCCTGTTGGCTATAGTGGGGTCAAGCAAATGTGCCACTTTCTTGCATTATAGAACAGGGTTGCCGCTATTATTATAGTGTTCAATTAAGGATGTCCAATAATAGAAGGCTTAAGTCTAAAGCTCCAAGCTCTTTTGAGTGTAATTGAAATCCTTAGAGGAATTGAAATTCTTTAGACAAACTGTGGGCTAGTCGCATGATCACTTTTTTCAATTTTTTTTTGTCGAGTACAGGGTGGTCCAAACATTCTTATGGAAACGCCCTTTATTCTGAGATATAAAAAAAATGGACCTAGGTATCTGGAGCTCAATTTTGAACAGAAAATCAATGGCGCAAACAGAATTCAGACCATTTTTTTCTATCTCTTAAAATAAAGGTTGTTTCCATAAGAAATTGTCCAATTTGGACCACCCTGTACAAGACATGTACAACTAAAAAGGGTCGTCATGAAATAGTTAATCATGCATTCCAGAAATTCAGAGGTTTTTGAAAGGGATAAATAAATGTTTGGAAGTTGAGTAAACCAATTCGAAAATTTATTCCAGCCCTATCTTGTGTTCTGTTTTTTGTGTTTTTTTTAATTTGAAATTAGGGTAGATTGATAATGAAAAATGATATACAGTCAGTTTCAAATTAAGTCGACAGGCACTATTGCTAACTTTTTTAGTTGTAGAGTTAGAATGACGATTAAATTACCAAAATTGTGTATTTTTTTGTACTGAATCCAAATCTGCAGACGTATAGTTGCGTTAGACAATTTAAACGGGTCAAAAATGTTCTTAATATTCCAATTAGTAATTGCGTAATCTTTGACAAAGGGTTTACTGCAACACAAAAAGGAAAATTACCTTTCCTACAGATGTTCTACTTTACTCTAGGAACAATTACTAGGTAATATTACGCTGTTTCTCACATACAAAGATAAGCCCGTAAAATTAGACATAAATTGTGTACATTTTCCGTAGGAGGCTTGGTATCTAGTCATATTTCTAGAAGTGCAATACTGAAATATTTATAATGAAGCATTTACTATGGACTTTGTTTTCTACACTCTAGTCAAGGTAAGCTCCTCGTCAGTTCTAAAATCCAACTTACTTTTAAACCGTATCCTGACTCCGCAAGTATCTCCGGGGCAACATATGTGGGTGTTCCACACACTGTATACAAAGGACCTGTAACCTCACAAGCTAGCCCAAAATCGCCCAATTTTAAAGCCTTAATTTTGGACCCTTTCATATCCACCTGCAAAAGACAAACTAGTTTTACACTTTACTTTCATTACACTTTTACCAGCAAGTTTTCAGGTTTAACATCTCGATGTACAATATTAAGGTTGTGCAGATACGCTAACGCCGAAGTTAAATGGGTGATCATTAGAGCTGCTTGTTCTTCGGAGAATTTCTGGGCAACAGTTATTGCGTCGAATAAATCGCCACCTAAACAACGAACGTATGAAATGCACGATTCAGTTGCAAGATACCTTTAACTAATTCGCAAACTAAATACAACATCGGCTTAGTATCCTGCTCGTCTACAAGTCTCATGACATTCGGATGATTCAATCTCCTAAGTATCCGTACCTCATTCTCGACCATATCTTCCTACAGTTCCAGATTTAAAAAGTTGAACGGATAAAATTTATTTACAAACCTTCCCTTTGCACTTGGACTTGTCTATGATCTTCAATGCGTGCCCTACATTTGTGGTTTTATCTACACATAATCTCACTACTGCAAAATTTCCTACAACCAACAATAAATCGGTGCTCTTTCCCAACCACTATCAACAGACATACCGTCCCCGATCATTCTTCCGACACTGTATTTTTGGAGTAACGATGGCGGTAACGTTATATTGACATCTTTACTTAATTTTGTTAACAAATTTTCATCAGAAATGTACGTTTTCAATTCTTTTTTAGGCATCTTTGGTTTCGGGCCAAAACTACAACATTTTATGATACACTCTGCAAAATTATTACAGTCGTTTATTACCCATTTCTCAGTCCCGGTGTTTTTTTATACGACTGTATCGCCTTGCTCTCCTCGAATTCGAGCTCAAAATCATCGAGAGAAAATCTTTCGTTGCCGTACACGAAAAATACGTCCTCGCCTGAGAAAAACTGCTGTAAAACGGTAACGGGTTGGCCGGATAAGGTGAATACTTTTCTTACTGCTCCGGAATCTAACTGGGCGGTATCCGTTAGGGAGCTAAATACCTGTTCTAGGTTGGATGCGTTTCGTTTGTTCAATAACAATCGCAAAACCTGCAACAACACAAATGTCAAAAAGTATCAACATTTTTGAATCTGAAATCTGCCTTTTTTCTGTGCTACAGTTAACTTTAAGAACTTCTTAAAAAGAAAAATGCCACAACTCAACTCGAAACTCAACGCTAAGTTTGTTTCTGAGATACAGGATGAAAATGAAAAGTTTGACTTATTAGGATGTTATCGTATCTTCCTACCGATGTAAGATAGAAAAAAAGTAAAACGGGCCTATTTTAGAAATTTTTAAACAGAATCCAGTGCCGTAGTAAAAAAACTCTCGAAAAAACTTTTCTGGACTATCATCTGAAATTTGACCCAAAGTTATATTTTTTAAATGCAACACTCTGTATATCTTAACGTCAATTCCTTGCATTACTTTTCCTGATTACGTTGATGTATGACGACCGGCTTAGTGACATTTGGGATGTGAGTATTTATGCATTGAACTTAACTTTCGGTCTAATTTTGGGGTTTGTACTATTCTAGGTATCAGAAAAAACCATTGAAAGAATTATCCAGCTGGATACTTTTGAATTGAAACCTTTTGGCCCACGACCTAAAACTTATATATAAAAATTTTTCATTTCGGGAAGATTTGCAACGACTGATTTGGAATTATCACTCGAAAAATGAACACTTTACTTTGGCTGACTTACTAAGGGACGCGCGGGAAAATTTTGATTTTGATAAGGGGAAAACTACCTTATACAACATTCTAAAATCAATGGGTTATAAATACAAACACGTAAATGGACGTAAAATTCTCTGTGAACAAAAATATGTTGTTGCATCCAAAATTACATTTTTGAGGAAATTCTTGCAATACCAAAATTCAAGTGAAAATATAACATTCGTGTAGGTATCTGGACGAAACTTGGATTTTTCAAAATGGATTCAGCGTTCGAAAATGGGTACACGATTCTGAAATTAAAAGTAATCCGTCTAAAATTAAATCAAAAGGGAGCGTTTTACTGTTTTGCATGCGGGGTCTCGTTTTGGATTTTTGGAAGGGTGTAATCTATTACAAACTTCAAATAGTAACGAGGTAGAATCCATAATTTCAAACAGTTCCAAGATTGGGCTACTAGTTCAAAAGTTACAGCCCTTTGAATTTTCTTTCGAAATTGGTTTCTAGTCTATAACTTTTGATTGAGAAGTCTGATCGAAAAAGTACGAATTGTTTTGGATTCTACGCACCAAAATTAATAAGAAAAAGTGTTTTCCCGAGAAATTTTGGTGCAGTCGATTTTTGGTAAAAAAGGAAGGTTATACACTGCCTTTTTTTGAGCCCGAAAAGAAATTGTCTCAGATCGACCCGGAAAAAAAATTTTCTTATAGAATGTGGCCTGTAGAATCCATAATTTCAAACAGTTCCAAGATTGGGCTACTAGTTCAAAAATTACAGCCCTTTGAATTTTCTTTCGAAATTGGTTTCTAGTCTATAACTTTTGATTGAGAAGTCTGATCGAAAAAGTACGAATTGTTTGGATTCTACGCACCAAAATTAATAAGAAAAAGTGTTTTCCCGAGAAATTTTGGTGTAGTCGATTTTTGGTAAAAAAGGAAGGTTATACACTGCCTTTTTTTGAGCCCCGAAAAAAATTGTCTCAGATCGACCCGGAAAAAAAATTTTCTTATAGAATGTGGCCTGTAAAATCCATAATTTCAAACAGTTCCAAGATTGGGCTACTAGTTCAAAAGTTACAGCCCTTTGGGTGGTTAATCAATTATTTCCATCAGGCAGCTGCTCTAAGACTAAAAGGTTCCCCAAAGAATAGGAAGCTACCCGCCGTAAATATTAACAAAATGTACTAATCATCAAACAGCACAGATGGAAAACAAAAGACCCAAAGAAGAACATTCCAATGGCACCGTAGAAGCAAGAACTACACTCAAGCGCAGTTAGGTATCTAGCTATGACTAAGCATATAATTGTAAATATATAACAGCCTTTTGAAATTAATAATGTTCATTAGAGCCATTTGCCTACTCAATAAAGTATGAAACGTATTGAGCAAGTTGTTTCTCATGAAATTGATACGTACTAACCTATAACAAAATTACCACAAAATCCAAAACTAAATCTGGCAACTAGGTTTTGCACATTGACAGGAAATTATCATTTTGTATAAAATGGACATAACCTAATGAGTGACAGCACATATACACAGTGAATTTCATCACCCTAACATGACCTACTACTGGGACAATAACTATTGAACGGAGTATAGCAATAAACAATTTTTCAATTGACCTATTGAAACATTATTATTTTTTTTAATTATCTTACCCTCCAACCATCACCCCTCCAGTTAATTTACAAGATAAAGTACTTACATAGAAAAAGGTGGCCAGATTTTTCACATTTTTCGCTCGCTCAACAGGAACAAAAGTTATAGGACTTCGAGTGGATCGGGAACAGAAAAAACGCTGGGCCCAATATAATAGAAATCAACGTATTTCATTCCCTAAGTCATGTATCGAGTTAGGACTTTTGATAGATTATTCCCTATGCCTCTTATACTTAATAATAATAATAATGGTTTTTTGCCATTCAACCAATTCAATATAACTCTTCTCTGTGGTCTAGGTCAAAAGTTTTAGGGCAAAATGGACCCAAAATTATTCTTTACACATGAATTTAGAGTAGTAAAAGATTTCAAACGCACCAAGATCGTTGGGAAAAAGACTAAGAGCATTATATCAATGACCAAGACATGAATTTGATGCATTTTTGGCGACCACATGTATTTTTCTCAAAGTCAAAATAGAAAATTGTATGCATGACAACCTAAATGTTAGAGTACATACATGATATAAGTGCAATCAAGTATCGTATCGGTAGTAGAAAGCTCCTGCTATTATGAAATTTACCGCATCATACTGCCATAGTACTTTTGCTTCAAAATAAAAACTAACACGAGTTTTAACCAAAGCAAAATCTCCCAAAGCAGTTAATCTGGCTTAGTTATCATAAAATGGTACACAAACATATAATATTAGGCGGCCCTACTTTATAGTCACTATATTGTTATGGATTTCCAAGATAATAATTTCCCAGCTTCTTCAGTACAATTTTTAAATACCTAATTCATTTCTGTATAATCATCTTTTCACATGTCTTAAAATAAAACTGATCGCTACTGATAATCCAATAAATAATCAGTTCATACATCAAGGTAGGCGCCTTAAAACAATTACAATACTTGCCTGATTATAATTTTTCTCTTCCATTCTCAACTTCAAAGTGGAAGGCAATTTAAAGAGGAACTGCAACCTTTTCAGCAAACTATGTATACCCGAAAGCTTACTGATCTGCTCGCGAGTATCCTGCAAAGTGGAGGAGATTTGTTGAGAGAAGGAAGTTATCGATTCCATGTTTTGCGCCAATAAGTCCATTTCCGTTTCCATTTTCTTGAAGTCGGTCTTCATCTAACCGCATAACATTAATTCAAAATTGTATATACTTAAACCGTACAAACCTTGCGAACTGTATCCGTGGCTGTAATGAATTTGTTGTAATTTTCGTATACTAATGTTTGCATATCTGAATGTAACGTTTGCGTATCTTTTATTATTTCGTTTTCTTGGTCCATTACTTGCTTTAATGTGCTTTCCTAACACAGAAGTATTCGAGTAGTTTTTGCGTTTTAGGTGAAACAACAGACTTACCTTGAAAAGCTTTTCGAGATACAAGTTCGGTTCAAAATGTTGACCATTTATATCCAAAGGGTTTATATTTTTTTCGGACATTTTTGGTATGTTTATTAAGTTTATTTCTGTGAACAACTATCGAAAAACACAATAATAAAGCGGGATTAGCTGTTTACATTTGAAAATTTTCTGTACATTTATACATTAACCTAAAAAATATTCACAGCGGCGGAGGCACGAAATTATTCCCACGCAGTGGCGGATTGTATATAGGGGACTTGTTAATGTTAGACCATTGATTATATTGTACACACAACTTGTGTGTATAATCAATGGTTAGACATTCGATCGAGGCCTACGATTAAGATAAGCGCTCGAAAAAGTAATGTGACCTTAGGAGGCAGTTTGGAACACATTAAATACATTACAGATTAGGAGAAAGTCAATCAACGTTTTATCTAAGTGAAGCCCATTTTTCGAGATAATTTAGCCCAAAAACGCGTCTGCAGTCGTTCCATTATGCTTTTATTAAAACATACAAAGTTCTGTTATAGTCACCTCCCACACTGATTCCCCAAACTGTTTGAGTGAAACACACTTCAAAACTACGTAACTAGGGTACGTTCTCAGGTGCATCACTATGTGTAAATTTAGTTTTAATGGAACAGAGCGCTAGACTCGGTATAGCGGGAACCTTTTTTATTTATTTATTATCCCTCTTTTGTTCTGGGCCTTCAGGTTTGCGCTCAATTACAGAGTGAACCGCATAATGCTTTTTAGAGGTGCCTCTGCAGAAGGTTTTAAGTTGTTCTATGCTACTCCGGTGCATTTTGGTAACGACAAAAGTTATAACAACAAAAAACCCAGATTTAGTATGACTTAGTCCCCGGCGGTCCATGAACTAAATCCGGTGCTGGCCAAGGACGTCAAGATGTGCAGAGGTATTGCCGTAGAATTCAAGTTCCGGTTTGGGCGGTTAAGAGAAATCTACCTGCATACGTCCCGAGGTGGGTAAAGCGTGTTACCTACAGGTAGCAGAGACGGTTGCTTTATTACCTCGTGATAAAAGACCGGTCTTGTGATAAGCCCAGTTACGAAGATTTTTGGAATACGTTACGGCACTTGAAACGATAACTACAGATTCATGGAGTTACAAAAATTCTGAATATCGGATGTAGTCTTGATAGGCTGGAAGTGGTAGGAACCGGAGTGGAAATATTGCTATCATGCTATTATTGCTATCACCCCAGAGGAACTCCGCAACCGATTCGTAAGAAGACCACAGATTGTTTTAATGTTGAAAACACTTATAGGATGCTAGTTTTGAAGTTTATATGATACAAAATACCTATATGAAAAGCTTGAATGCTAAAAGGCACGATATCTCAAAAACGAGTGAACCGATTGCCATGAAATTTTTCAGGTGGATTCTTTATCAAATTTGGTAGGCCAAAAAATAAGGAAGGCCCATTTTGACATCTCATATATTACGGTGACGTAAAAATGACGCATCATTTACTGCCATTACGCTATTGCCTAAAATATGCAAAACATTTTTTCCTACAACATGGACCCAAATTTTGGAAAATATAAATGCTCCATACACATTTGATTATTGAAAAAAATATAATACTGATTTCCCACTTCGTTCAAGTCAATTTTAAAGGCCGTGATGTGTATCAAAGTGTCTGTCGTTTTTGAGGTTGCATTGTGTTGCGATGTAACCTGGCAAATTCACATTATTGTATGCATATTGTCGGTAGCCTCGTTATACAATATTGCAGATTGAAGAGTTGAGCACTATTTATGAGAACATGGTTTATTTCGTTCGTCCAACTACAAAACCTCAAAGTACCGTAACGGCGTAACGTGTGATGTGTCAAAACCAAGAAAATGTTTCAAAAGTTGATAGCTTCGATATTTTTAAAAAATACAAAAATGGTACAAAACAGAATTTTGTTCCATTTTTACGTAGAAATCAGTAGCGTGGAATTAATTATCATATCTACTATACAATTCTTAAGAAATAACCCAAAGGTTGAAACACTATGTTTTTCATGTTCACTTGTTTTCATAGCATACCTACCTAATTTGTAATAATTAAAAATCGTTTTGCTCAAATTTTTCCACAATTTTATAAATAAGAATATCAACCCCTCTGTCGTTTAGAAGAGTGAAAAAAAACCTGATATGAAATATTGTTGCGTCATTGATTTGTGAATCAATTTTAGACAAGTTTTTTTTATCGATTTTGCACACTTTATATAGATGTTACAGTGTTTTAGCGTATGTCTGCGTATGTCTGGAATTGATTCACAAATCAATGACGCAGGGCCCCAGACTCCTGATTTCAAGTGTAGGTAACCACATCGATTATTGTTGACCATTTAAAATTTGTTTAGTGCTTACTATTTATTTTAGTTAGATCAAAGTGCCCCATTTCGCAGATAATGACGTGTATTACATCCCTGTAATTAAGCAAAAGACCAACCTTGATTTTAAAGACCTAACAATAACAATCCGAGCTTGATGGATATCTACACAATTAATATTAGAAACTAAACAATAACAGTATCAGTAAACTAACATTGGCATTATTAATCAATACATTGGTGATTATTTAATAATAATAGAAATTACAGTTTAAACAAACATCCCTGTCCACACACTTATAAATCTCATCGTGAGTGATCATGCTGCAGTAATCATCGATTGGTACTCGAAAGGTGCACATCGATTTTTTTAATTTTTCGTATATTAAGTAGTAGTGCCGTAGGTGATGAATTTAAATATCTCCTCGGTTCGACTGCTTTGTATGTGGAAAATAATTGTCTACAGTTTGAATTTTAATTATTTAAATAGACTTCGTTTTTTTTATTAGTGTAATGCGTGTATAATTTGTTATTTGAATAAACTATAGGTTCGACTGCTTTGTCGAAATTAACTTTTGCCTTAATTCTCTTTACCTCTCCTTACTCTGAAGTGGTGGAAATGAAGAATTCGTGAGTAAATTGTATTTCTTTAGATGTACCCTATCAAAGTGTTAGATAAAATAATCATGTTACTGATGGGAGATTTTAATCATCATTACTTGGATGTGGTAGTAGTAGGTAATTTTTCTAGCTTTGCTAATCGTATGTAGGTATATGCAAAATAGAAAGAAATGCCGCTCTATTAACACAGTTAACATTTAGAGCTAATCTACGTCCTCGGGCGTCAGATTTAATTTTTTAAATGCTGTTTCCTATTTAAGACGCTTCCTGCCTATCTTATTCATCACAAACTGTCCCGCATTTTTGTGGCGTTGTTCTTTTTCTTACAGATTTATGAATGGTGATCCCGTAATTTAATTTATCAATTGACCGAGTCGTGTCACGTATCAATGAAGTAAATAGTTCTGACATGAAGGTACTTTAGCTCTCATCATCAGTTCTACTTGTGCAGATAGAATAATGACGCCTTTTATTGCTGGGAGATCTTATTTTTAAATGAAGCAAACGCAATTTTGCACGTGTTCATATTTTATAGTTCTTATTACCTATTTGTGGCTAATGGAAATTAACAGAAGACCAATTTTCCTCATTAGCTTCGAGGAGGGTGATTGTGATCGTCATACTCATACAATTATGCGTATTACTGTTTCAATGCCAAGGACAAAATTGGAGTCGGATCAAAATGTTTATTGGTTTGAAGGGGCTTCCTATATGGAACTAAGGTAACCTAGAGATTGTAATTTTGAACATGTTTATACTCATGTTGAGGCTTACGGTTGATGTTGGGGGGTGCATATCATTTCACTTGTCCATACGTATACCTCATCTAGTGTGGCTATAAATTAGGTAAATAACCGAAAACCTATAGTGAGGCGCGAAAAATACATATATGATACCGGCAATCTGTATAATTCTGGTATACTATAGGACAGTTACATTCCCTAGGTACCTATTGTATAGAATACTTGAATTCAGAATATACTTTCTGTCCGTCCGTCTGTGTACAGGATAACTCGCGAACGGTTTCGAATTGTCCAATTCTGTTTTCAGTAGATAGACAATGGTGAATTAAGGGACAAACTGATTAAATTGACTGTATATTGGTTTGAAACCGTTTATTTATGCACAGATTTCCTTCGGAAAACATAAAGCTCTTTATTTTGATGTATCGAGTGTGGTCAAAAATGACCCCCTCCCTCCTCATTTTTTACGGAAATACACGTTTTGAAACACCAGGAATCTGAATCAAACAAAATCTCGCACTGCCGGTCTTTATCGATTTGTACCTACTCTCATTTCCGGCTAAACGGTTGAATAGATTGGACCAAAATTTGATCCCGATACTCTTGCACATAGGTATAAAAAGACCGAATCGTGCAGGTGCGCGGGTGGCATCTGTGCTGGCCACAGAAAACTTTTTTTTAAATGAAAATGCAGAAGTTTCAACCATCCTTTAAAGCACTTAAATTTTTTTAAAACTCGAATTGTTTGAACTTCTAATACCGGAGTATAAGTTACCTACAGTCTCAAATATCATGAGGATACTTTTGCAAGCATGATTACTCCTAACCTTAAGTATAAGGTTAGGAAACTTTTGCGCCTTGTAACGAGGACTCGTTGGCAGATTTTATTTGATTCAAATTTTCCCTCATTTTTTTTAGATTCGTGGTATGCCTTCTGCCATGTCAGCCGCAACCTTAGCGCTGAAATTAGGAACGCGAAGGATATTTCTGGATTGACAAGATTTTGACATGTATTTTTTATCGATTATGGCTCATTTTTTCGATTGTGACAATATAGTCTCATTGTTTGGCAGGATTTTCTAAATTTTGTATGTGAGTGAGTGGTTCCTGAATAGGGTCCTGACTTTTTAGATGTATGGATAAGCTGGAGGCGGCAGTGAGTCGTTGGACTTATGAGTTTAGTTCAGACAACAGGACAACGGTGTAAGAAAAGAAAAAGATATACTACGGGCGTTCAATAATTGTTTATTGTTCTGATAGTACCTACTTGGTTGTGGTTCTCTTTTTAGCATAAAAATATGGCTGTTGATGTCGTTAAATACGTGCTGACGAACACACTACTAAAAGACTGTTTTGAAAAAGAACTGGTTTCAATTTGCAAAAAAAAATTAGAAAGGTATGTTTACCTATACTGAGTTTTGAATTAATGGCAACGTATTATGCAGGCCATACATTTATGCATGTAATATCAGATTTGC